TATATATATATTTCTATTACAGTTTACTTTCAGAAATAACTTTGCAGGAACTGTGCATTCAATTAAAATTAATATTATAAGGGGTACTCGGTCTATTTACAAAATTCTAATGGATTGATGGAGTTTTGTTGAGTGGTAAAGAGAAATTCAGTTTTTACTTTTTAAAAAAGTTTTTGAGAAAACCTTCAGTAGATTTCTGTTCCTCAGCTCTGCATCCTCAAAGAAGTGTTTTAGCTTAGATAGCAAGGGGGAGGATTTATTTTTAAAATATTTCTGCTGCTTCTTTCATTTTCTTTTTTCAACTCAGGCAACAAAGGAGCTGTTGGGGTGTCCTTCATGTTTAATGGAACTTCCTTTGGGTTTGTGAACAGCCATTTGACTTCAGGAAGTGAAAAGAAACAGAGGTAAATTATTATTGCCTTCCTAAGGGCCACCTGAGGCACCTGTTGCTTGCTACTACAGAGTTTCCACTGAGTACAAATGGATAACCAGACTCAAAAAGCTAGAAGTACAAAGCTTATCTCTGTGTGGAACAGGGGCACTTGAATCCTCCTCTTTCCTCCTGGTAATGAATTGTTGTAGCCACTTTTCAGAAAAGATAGCTAGATGATTCATCTCCAGGTATGAAAAATGTGGAACCCTCCAGATGTTGCCCTAACCAATATGTTAGGTGTGGTGTGGTTAGGCTGAGGATCCAGAATCCTGATCTAGTTCATCACTGTGTGTTCCTAGGTGACTACTAATATCCTTTACCTCAGAACTGAACAACATACTTGGCTTTAGAGCAGTATGCTATGGATCCCACTCCAAAAAATAGTAGATGGGATCGTAATACCTGTTTTATGTTATTTACATTACGTTAAAATCAAATATAGTTAATGATTACAGTACTCTGTAGTGAAGTGTTTAATATCTTTCCCCATCTGTCACAATTAGTAAGAGCTTTGGAGGCAGACACCAAAAACCTGTAAAAGCTGATACCAAATTGTAATTTTTAATTTTATATCAGTTTTATAGATTTCTGGGGGCTGCCTCCAACCCTTTTATTAACAAATCTCTGCTGCAGGTGGTCTTGAGCAACAGTTCTCTCCTGTTTGGTTTTGTTTGGTTTTGTTTTACTTCTCAGCACCTGGTATTTTTTTAAATATCAGTTCTGAACACTGAACAATGTTCATTTTCTAAGTAAAGATCCTTATAATGCCAAGAAAATAGCATGATCTTCATATCTGATGGAAGTATTAGAAGCTCAGAGAGATTCAAAGGTTGCAGATTTATTAAAAAGTCTTTAGGGGGGAAAAGCCATCTAAGGGGAATATCTCAAAAATAGGTTGGTAAAGCCTGAGCATGTTGGGTTATAGGAATTATCTCATCTAGGCTGTTGGGTGTTGTTGCTATGTGACTGACACGTAGTCCACCCAATCACATACAAGGCTGATAGCATAGGCCACTGTATATTCCACAACTAGGCAACAAACCTCATTTCTCCAAAATCATAGCACTGAAGATGTTACCTCAGCGATTAAAAAAAAGTCTGCAAATGAAAAACCATGCTCAGGAAACTCCCACAATCCAGTGCTCTAACCCTGAGCTACATATATTCTCTACAATTGCAAGACTGAACATGTTTACTATGCTGACTAAGGACACAGCCAGACCACTGGGTTAAAGCGTTATCCTCCAATCCATGAGTCAGTAGAAAGATATGCTGCATAGATTGCCTTGCACTTATTGCCACCAATCTCCGTTCTGCCTCAATAATGAGGCAGTTTTAATGTGCGACAAGTAAGGTGGGACAGTGCTAAATGAAAGTACATATTATGTCAGTTTTCCTGAACTGCATTCAAATGTTAGGCTAGCTGTGCTGACCAAAGACTGGAATTTGTAGAGAAACATATCTGGAGACAGACATTTGGGAGATGCTGCATTACATTAAGCATTCATTCCTAGCAAAAAAAGTATTACCACCATGCTGCTATTTTCATGCTCCCATTTTCTCAAAACTGAACTTTACTGAAATAGCACCTTTGGAGGGAAGTAACAGTTGAGAGCAACTTTTACCAAAAACAGGAAAAAACCCAAAGACACACACAAATGGATGGGAAAAATCACTTCCATACACTGTGGTCTTTTCATCTGAACTGGAGCACTGTGTAATTGTTCTTCTTCTTTTCTGAAGAGTACATTCAAAAGCATATTTTCAATCTAATACAAAATTAGAACATGAACTACATACATAGATTCAAGAAGCCATCATTAAGTATGGAACATACAGAATATATTTCAACAAGTTTCTTTTCCTATCTGCAGAGACGCTGACGTTTTATCTTAGCTTTGTTGAACTCAGTATACTTTCCAAAGCTATAGTCAAGATAGAGATGTAAACAAAGCTTTCAAGCTTTGGCTGTTATGGGCAACCTGTATACAGTCCCTTAAGGCTTAAATATGCTTTCGTTTTTCAGAAATAAGAAAGTCAGTATGCCAAAGTTGCTAAGAAGCATAGCATTCCCAGGCTCATATACAGAGGAAGAATAGAGATCATTGAAATTATAAAGTCTCTTCATAAAAGAAAATACTTGATGATTAAGGGGAGGGTTGTTTGTTTTGTTTGTGGTTCTTTTTGCTCAAGGTCAACTGGGAACATTCCTCTTCCAGGACCATTGTAAGTCTTCATCATTTCGATTTGTATGCCAAATCTATAACTCCTTGGTTCTATGGAACTAAAACTAGAAATAGAAATGCAGCACATGTGCCTATATAAAGCAAAGGAGATGAGCTGTGTTAAATCACCATACTTTCCCTCTTTTCTATGGCCCAGTTTCAGCTTCCTTTCACACTTCCACATTCCCATGGCAACACAAACTGCAGGGCCTCTCTTCTGTCCACCTGGCATGTTCATTGCTTGAAGGGTG